AGCCAAGGTGTATATTCACTTCGTACCCTCCGAGTGATTGGTGGAGCATGCATATCAGCTACAAATAAAAACTTGTTTTTCCAATCCATATATATATAATTAATGTCATCAGACTGTTGATCAAAATCTATATGAAATATTTGTGATAAATCTGCAATAAAATTGTCTTTATTGTAGCCTTTGTATTGTCTAGTATTAACAACTTTTGGCTCACCACGAGGGATCGATAATTTTCTTGTTATACATATCAAACTATGATCACTAATTCCTATATGGTGCACGGCAGGGGCGCACATTAGGGGGGGTGTGGGGGGGGGGTGACACCCCCCATGTTTTGTGAAATATATCTAAAAAGTCGGTCCCGAAACCTGTATGGGACGAAAAAAAAGTCGGTCCTGCTAAAATCTGAAAGACATCATTTTGTGTCGAAAAAATAAATAGGTGGACATTTTGGAAATGGAATCTAACAAAATTAGGCGACTTTTTGTGGTTGTAACTTTTCTTCCAACCTCGTCCTAAAATACGTGAAATAGCGTTCTAATGAATCTAGAAATTCAAAATTTTCCTCGCGCCATTGGCGCTCGCACTCGAAATCCCTAAAAAATTTTGGCCCCCGAAAGTTTAGAGCAGAAGTTCTGAAAAACTAAACGTTTATTTAAACTCTTGGAATACTATCCCGGTCTATGAATCCATCCGCAATTTTGAATTTTACAATCCATGGTATTACCCACACTTTCCTGCAACTTATTCAACATATAATAGTTAATTAAATACGCTTTCGGCCATTTAGTACTACTAAATTGTAAATTTCGACATACTAAAACGCTGTTCTCTGACTATCAGAATTCTGTCAAATCTTCCCCAAAGTCCAGGAAACGGCATTGCAGAGACTCTAAATTTAAAAATTTCCTCGGGCCTTCGGCCCTCGCTTTCAGCCCCCCCCCCTGAATCGAAAAGAGTTTCCTACAGCCCTGTACCATACGTCAAAGTCTTAAATTTTATATTAATTGTCTTAAAGGAAGCGCAGTGTTTCAATTCTCTTTTAGAATATTCTTTTTTATCCTCAAAGATACGAATGTATTTATAACAACAAGTTCACGAGTACTGTGCACGCCTTAAAATTGTTGGCTTTTCTTATCAAACACAAATACTACAAAAGTCGGTCCCGGAACATAGGACACCCCCCTAAGTTTTTTTTAAATGTGCGCCCCTGCCTCAGACTCACAGGCTAAAATAAATTTATAGTAGTTTTGTTTGTGGAAACACCACGTAAATTTATTACTGCAAAGCTTTCGATCCGTAAGCAGTGGATCTTCATCAGTGCTAATAATTTCCCAATTTCAGGTAAATGCATATTTTTTTTTTACTTCTGGCTATTGACAACCTGAGATTAGTTAGTAATGGAAATAATTGTGTGATAATAATACAAACAGCATGACAATGCAAAAAAGTAATTCCAAACCCCAGTGTGAAGACTTTGTATAGATTGTGCAACTGGGATATTGGGTGCGCAATTTTGATGTTTACTTTCACTATTAAATTTTGAAATTTGGGTGCACAATTCCAAATGTTCCAGTCAGGCTAAATTAGGCCAGTAAAACAATGGCCAAAATTCAATCTTGCCTGCACACTTGCAAACTTTCCAATCTGGGGTATCACGTAGCACTGGAAGAGGCAAAGCTAGAATGAACTGGTGCAACCAATGAATCAAAGAGCAAAGGCATAATCTCATGCATATAAAACATATATAACCAGAAAGGATATGTAAATCTTTCATTCCAATCTTTTGTTGTAACCTTTTTCAAGCATATGACTGCTTCAACTGTATTGGATATTTTCTGCCACGTTTCATCAAAATTGACCCTCCTCTGTATCAATGCCATACCCCTTGGTTATAATTTACCCAATGGGGCCCAATAGTGACCTTTCACCTTTGGAATTGATATAAAATGTATACTTCTTGCCACTTCATTGCTACACGTAAGTACTGTTGAAAAAACACCATTTAAAAACACATTCATCTAGCGTTTACGCGTTCATTACATTTAGCAAATATTCTTGTTCCATTAAACCATGACCATAAAAACACCATTTATTCAAGCACCATAAATTCAACCAACTCCTGCTTTGTAACCACTCCACTCAGTTGTGAAAGCTGTTTCCACTTAATCTTTCACTTCAATAGTATTAAATTCTCCCAAGTTGTTATTGTCATTCCTGCAAATATATTTTCCTAAAGAGCTAAAGGCAATGAATGTTTAAACAAATAATTTATAAAGCTTTTGCGATATTTAGTTGTAATCTAACTTTTCTTTAGTTATTAATTCATCAAAATGAGGCAAATATTGGCAAATATAAGAAATTTCCTTGAAAGGATGTGGGAAAAATGTGGAAACATTGACTCCGAATGAATGTCTCCGATTGCGAAATCAGCTTGACGACAAGAAATTGTGTATAGAGTATTAGAGTTTTAAATTTTAGCTGATAAATATACAAGTTAACATAATGTCACAAGGATCCGAGGTAATATATTTTACAATATCGTGGTTTAATATAAGATTAGATTATTTTAAAAGTATAAAAAACCCAGTCCGATCTGTTTTGTGCATGGTGGTATGACCGCATCTGACCTACTGGCCATATGGCATGTGTGATGTGGTTGATGCATGTGCTACCATACTAGCCACAGTGTTTCTTCAAATATTATGAAAGGACCTCAGTCAACATTATGCTTCAGCTCCAAACGAATGCATCAATTGGGTAGTTAATTTTCAAGTTAAGCCCCGGACACACCCTTTTTTTGCCAGCGGACGAACAGAACTTCAACTGGAATGACTAATGCATTATAATGCGAAATGTATTGATCATGCATGAGGTTGGGTTTCAGGTGGGATCAAGTCAATGAAAACAGTCATACTAACTGTCCCTTCCAGCACTTGGTGTAGCCAGGGGGGGGGGGGGCAAGGGTGCCAGAGTTCATTCTTTGCAAAACATGTGCGGAAGAAATTGCGCATGTCTGTCAAAAATGGTGCCAAAAGGGCGTGTCTATAAAAATGTGTGCGGAAGGTGGAAGATCTTTCGCACACGGTGCAGAAAATGCAGTCTGGCATTTGGGCGACTGACCCCCCCCCCCCCAATCGCTACAAAAAATTCTCTTCAAATGTTAAATCCATACAGAAATGGACCTTTAACCTTATAACTAAAATTTTAATCTAGACAAGTCTAGACAAAAATTTCATCACAGCTTGAAAGAGCATCACAAAATTAGTAATTATCCGAAGTTTCGTTGCGAAATGTTGTAAAATACGGATAATATAGCCTTGCAAAGTTTGCAATTTTCAGTCATTTTAGATTACAAACGGTCATTAATTATTAGGGGGGGAGGTCTGGTAAAATATCTAAAACGAGGGCCCAAAAATGTTGACCCCCTTTCAAATTAGCGCCCAAAAATTTTAGCCCCCCACAAAATAATAGCCCAGAAAATTGTGACCCTCCCCTTCCTAAGATAGCTTCCTTCCAATCGGTCAAGCATCAAACAGCGACATAATTTCGTGAATAAAATATGGCTATATAGTATAAAACACTCCTATACATGCATTAAATAGTACATCATTTGAAATCTTTATGTAAATTAGTCTATAGCACTGGCTCGTCCCCCAGGTTGAAGATCTTGGCAAGATCTTGTAAGATCTTGGAAGATCATGGAAGATCATGGCAAGGTCTTGGCAAGACACTAATCTTGGCAAGATCTTGCCAAGATATTACCAATATCTTGCCAAGATTATTCAATCTTGCCATACTTGCCAAAATCTTGCCAAGATTGTCTGAAATTCTTGTCAAGATCTTGCCAAGATCTTTCATGATTTTTCGTCATACATAATTCTTGCTGAGTTGTATTTTTTGACCTTCATAAGTATAGGTATAATGAACCTTGATCAAACCAATCGCATATATCACAACATTGCCAATACTCTATCATGATCTTGCCATGATCTTGGAAGATCTTGTCAAGATCCCACCATGATCTTGCCAAGATCCCACCATGGTCCTTGCCAAGATCTTATCACAATCTTGCCAAGATTCTATCATAATCTTGCCATGATCTTGCACAATCTTGGCAAGATTCCACCATGATCTTACCAAGATCATATCAAAATCTTGCCAAGATCCTATTGTAATCTTGCCATGATCTTGGAAGATCTTGTCAAGATCCCACCATGATCTTGCCATGATCCCACCATGATTCTTGCTAAGATCTTATCACAATCTTGCCAAGATTCTATCATAATCTTGCCATGATCTTGGACAACCTTGCCAAGATTCCACCATGATCTTGCCAAGATCTTGTCAAAATCTTGTCAATATCCTATCATGATCTTGGAAGATCTTGTCAAGATCCCACGATGATCTTGCCAAGATCCCACCATGGTCCTTGCTAAGATCTTATCACAATCTTGCCAAGATTCTATCATAATCTTGCCATGATCTTGCACAATCTTGGCAAGATTCCACCATGATCTTACCAAGATCATATCAAAATCTTGTCAAGATCCTATTGTAATCTTGCCATGATCTTGGAGGATCTTGGCAAGACTCCACCATGATCTTACCAAGATCCTACCATGATCCTTTCTAAGATCTTATCACAATCTTGCCAAGATTCTATCATAATCTTGCCATGATCTTGGACAATCTTGCCAAGATTCCACCATGATCTTGCCAAGATCTTATCAAGAATCTTGCCAAGATCCTACCATAATGTTGCGATGGTCTTTTACAATCTTGCCAAGATCTCACCATAATCTTGCCAAGATCTCAGCATGATCTTGCCAATATCTTACCAAAATCTTGCCAAGATCTTATTGTAATCTTGCCATGATCTTGGAGGATCTTTTCAAGATCCCATCATGATCCTTGCTAAGATCTTATCACAATCTTGCCAAGATTCTATTATAATATTGCCATGGTCTTGGAAGATCTTGTCAAGATCTCACCATGATCCCAGCATGATCTTGCCAAGATCTTATCTATCTTGATCTTGGAAGTTCTTGACACAATCTCTTGTCATGATTTTACCATGATCATAACAAAAATGCCATGATTTTGAAAAATCCTTTTGAAAGGAGGCTTTTACGCGCACAGTTGCTCTCGCATCTTTGCGTGCCAGATCCAAATGACTGAAATGAGATCAATTAATCAATATCTGTAAATCTTGTTATCTGCGTATTTTTCGCATATTTGTGGTAGACAACCGTTGGTAAAAGCCCCAAGGCGCGTTTTATAAGTCAAACATACAAGGTACACGGCAGTTTATACTTCTGTTCTTCGACTTTGTTGCTGCACTAAAGAAGAAAGGATAACTTGTCGAGCTGTCTTAAATAAAAAGTA